AGTGATACATGTAGTTTGTTCACTGAGTGATGCATGTAGTTTGTTCACTGAATGATGCATGTAGTTTGTTCACTGAGTGATGCATGTAGTTTGTTCAGAGTGATACATGTAATTTATTCACTCAGGCATCAACAACAGTCCCTCCCCACAGGCACGGCACACGCCGCTGTGTCGTTCAGATTCACGCCACATGTGAGAACGTGGACGTTCCACTCATGACCAGCACGCTTGCATTCAGCTCAACTGTACTGAGAAAGGAACAAATCAGTTAATAAAGTGATTCAGATCGTTCACTCAAAAGATTTGTTCATTGAACGAATCATTTGTGGACGACACACTATCACACGACTATTATTCATGTTCGTCTCTTGTGCTAATAATACAAGCAAGTATATCAAGCCATTTTATTTATATTTATTATATATAAATATATTTATATTTTCAGGTCTCTCTTGCAAATGAGTCCCCGAGACTAAACCTGTATAAATAAAGGTTGAATGAATATCTATACGTCACTTTGGCATCAAAATAAAACCTCTGGTGTTTTTACCCAGGCTGGGAACACCACAGCACTTTGGTAACAGTTTGTTTTAAATGTGCTCTATAAATAAATCTGACTTGACTCACCAGGCATAGCCTATCTTCATCATGGGGCTCTTCCCCTTCCCCCTGGGGATGTATTCTGGCCCCCCCGCGGCTCTCCGTGTCTGCTCGGAGCTCCACAGCCCGGCAGAGGAGGAAACATGTCGCCTCAGAAGGTGACACACTGTCGGGGCTTGAATGCGACAGCAAACAAGACGCAGACCAGGGGGACAAATTTAAGCGTTTACACATTTACACAACTTTGATGACAGTGTTCTTATCGGACCGGAGTATGAGAGTAAGCAGAAGAAATGATCTAAAAACAAAACATAACCAGTTGTAGTTGTAAAACTATTACAAAGGTGACTTCATTTGTAAAATTACAAAATTGTTATGTGTCATATGGTAAATGTGTTAATCTGGTAAAGTCAGTAATAATGACCATATTAGTCTGTATTTTACCCGTCAAAGCTGTTCGGACTGCTACCAAACAGGAGGCCGCCATGTTTGCTGAATAACAGACATGCGCACAGCCACACATAAACAATGACCCGCCATCTAGTGGCCAACACGAGCATTACAATAGCAAACAGGCATGCGCAGTACAGCATATGTATATATTATATAAATCATAGATATCATCATAGATAGCTGCAGCTCTCGTTTTTTGTTTTTTTTCCAATCGGATCCTCGACTGCGCGACCTGTCAATCAACTCAGAAGGCGTGACCAATCGACAACCTCAATTCAAGTAGGCATCTCTGCCATAGATATAAACACTAGATCCCTCATTGACTGCTGCGGCGCAGGATTTTCGGCCGCCATCTTGGAGCAGTCGTCCTTATTTGGTTAATCAATGAACCTTTATTTATACAGGTAAATCCCATTGAGCCTCGAGGACTCATTTACAAGAGAGACCTGATTTCAACAAAGAAAGATGACAACAATGGACAACAGCAACAACAATAAACAGTTATAAAAAAGCATACTACAGTTTTTTTGTTTGTTTTTTTTAACAAATAGGATGGCTAAAAGGAAAAGGTAACAAAACAAAAAACAGCTAGATTCCAAGACAAATGTAGAAAACTAAAAACAGGAACATGTCAGCATTGGACCCAGCCAAGTGTCCAACAGATTCTTAAAGACACTTAGAGAGGTCAAGGTCGAGAGCTTCAAATCTTTTTGTAAGATGTTCCAGGAAACAGGAGCGGAGTAGGAGAAGGCCCTTTTGCCTAGTTCAGTCCTCATTGAGGGAACACTGCAGGTAATAATGTCCTGAGAGCGCACTCCGTAGCTGCACTCACGCAGAGACATGTAGGAGGAGATGTATGAAGGCAACAGACCAAGAAGTGATTTAAAGATGAAAATATACCAGTGAGAGAGTCTGCGTGAAGTTAATGAAAAAAGCAGAATATCCTGATGCATGCTGAATAATCCAGGTAGAAAAATCCAAAAAAGTTCAATCTGGTCCTCTGGACATTCAAAAAAAACAAAAAACAAAACGAAGCAAAAAAAATCTAGAAACGTTTCGTCTCTCATCCAAGAGACTTCCTCAGTCTGAGGTGCTGTTTTCAGCTCAGTCTCTTAAATATTTCATTAAACAGGGGTTTAATGAAAACAGGGGTGGAGGCCTCCGGGTTCAACTGTCCCCCTCTTACAATGCTGTGATTGCTAGTATCACTCAGCCCTCTGTGAATAGTAAACAGCCATCAGTGTGCTAATGATCCATTGTTAGGCTGATGGTCCTTCTTGATCATGTGATCAACTGGTTTTGGTTGTCAGCAGCAAAACTGGTTGATCCACCCTGAGAAGGTGCTATTTAAGAGACTGAGCTGAAAACAGCACCTCAGACTGAGGAAGTCTCTTGGATGAGAGACGAAACGTTTCTAGATTTTTTTGCTTCATTTTGTTTTTTGGGTTTTTTGAATGTCCAGAGGACCAGATTGAACTTTTTTGGAAAAAAGCAGAAGTTAAAGCAGAAGATGTCTCAGCACTTCGCAGCTTATTTCTGTTCTAATCGACGGACTGTTTACGTCAGGTCTCGGGGGATAACTTTTCACAAGTAAGATGAACATATTATTGTTAGTATTTTGTGAATAGAATAATACTGTACTGTATTTATGTCCACCAGCTGATGTGATGTTCAGTGTAACACGGTGTTCAGCTGCAATGAAGCTGACTGAGATCTGAAGACAGGAATATTTTGCTAACAATCATACTCACTATTTCAGTAGCTTTGGTTCATTATCAACAGATATGCATCAAAACTGGAGTTTTGTTTAAGTTCTAGAATATAAAAAAATAAAACTAGGGAGAATATAGGAAATAGAAAATAAGCTTGACCTCCTTTGTACAATGTTTTTGTGTAGACACAAATGTCCTGTTTTCATTGTGAAGGTTTCCCAAAGAACAAGATGTGAGGAAGAGGAGGAAGTATCTTTGAGGAGGATTCATCTGAGCAGTGAGGATTTTAGACTGGAGGATTTTGATCAAACTGATCAGACTGTCCGACTGAGAGATGGTGTGGTACCATCGGTTCACCTTCAGAGAGTAGGTGCATCATTATAAGTTCATTAGAGTTCATAAATTTACATATTTTATTGTCAGTCACAAGGTGAGACACCTCCATGTGTTTATATGAACAGGTAACTATAGACTGTAAAGTTCATATTCATGATGCTTTTTCATTTCAGCTTGAAAACTGCAGGACTAAAGGAAGTCAACAAAAGCTGGAGCTGCTCTGTCTGTGGCCTCTCAGGAACGTGCACGTGACTCATTTTAAAGAGAGACCTGTTTAGGAGCAGATGGTGGGGGTTAAGGGCCTTGCTCAGGGGCCCAGAGTGGGGCCAATGAGGGTGGAGGCAGGTGTGGGTGTTTCACCTTTTCCACCTCATTTTGATGTTGACGGTACCGGGAGTTGAACCTGTGACTTTCCGATCACAGGCCCATCTTCTAACCTCTGCTCCACCACTCCCCCACATAACATCATATCATCAATCAACCTTTATTTATACAGGTAAATCCCATTGAGCCTCGAGGACTCATTTACAAGAGAGAACTGATAAAAATCATAATGGTCATATTAAAATCTCACTGGTTTCCTTCCAGATGTGTTAAACAGCTACTGGTCCCCCTGATGTTGCCAGGTGTCTGTGGTCAGTGGATGAAAAGCCTGGCATGAACAAGATGATGCTGGAGATCATCATTTGACGAGAGCTCCCACCTTCTAACTGTGAAGAACAAGAGCAGCTCAGTGACTTCCTCAAGGCTCAGTGAAGGAGCTGAGAGCTGCAGAGAGGCTGATTCATGGAGCTTCAACACAGCAACCTCCAAACATGTCCACCCTCACACACATCGTCCATGAAGACACTGGAACAGAGCACAAGATAATAAGACACTGACAACAATGACAACAATACACATTCATAAATGATTCATACAAATTTAAGTTTTTTTAATTGTTTGTTTGTGTTACAATTGAAAAACAGTTTGGTATCCACTGTTGTCATCACTCTTTGTTAAAATCCAGGTCTCTTTTGTAAATGAGTCCTATTGGCTCAGTGGGACTAACCTGTATCAATAAAGGTTGAAT